ATATTTATGTTTAGTTTTTCTAATTTTTTTTCTTTACTTTTTTCCCCGTTTTCATCCAAAATATGTTTATCATCATGGGGGCTTCTGTTGTAATGGTTGAGTTGTAATTGGATTTAGGATTTGTGTTGCCTAGTGTTGAGTGAGAATAGGTGAAATATATAATTTTGTAGTTCGTATTGCACATTTGTAAGTAACCATCGGGACAATAGGCAAGGCTAGAAAAAGATGCTAGAGCGCAAATTACTAAAGCCTACCACTCTTTGAGCTCCTAAGTTCTGCTCGAGCATCCTCAAGGTGCTGCTCAAGTTGTGTTGTGGATGAGAAATTTCTAATTTCCATCCTCCAAAAAAAAAGGATAGAAAAAGAAAAATATTCACGGATGTAATTGTACAATGTTTTTAAAGTATGAAAACACGTAGACTACAATTGTAATAGTGTATTAACTTATTTTCATTAATGCTATATTGTTTTAAAAAAAACAAATCACATTTTCAGTTCTGACCTCATAATACAAAAGTTTGGCTCCTCCTGCAAGCGCTTTATCAAAGATTAAGGACTAAGAGGATGTTCGAGACCCATTTTTATGTAAAAATGTATTTTAGAATAGTAGATTGATAGGAAATGTGTGATTGAAAAATAAGGAATTTTTTTTATTTACGTTTAATATTATTTTAATGAATAATGTAGTTGAAAAAAATAGGGAGAAAAATATATTTTTAGAAAGAATGAGAATCAAACAATGTCTTAAATATACAATTTACCCTATAATAAGTCCCTACCTGTTATAAAAGTGAAGAAAATAAAAGAGAACAGAGAGAAATCCATAGATTTGTGTGTTATTAATAATCAAAGTTCAGTATTTATAGGGCAGAATCAGGGAGAAACAATAATAATTTCTGAGGCTGCAGGAGTACAATTGTCATTCACCAATACATTTTACAACATTCCCCCTTGAATGACACATTACAAAATATCTGCCTCATTAAAATCTTGTTTGATAAAACCCTAGTAGAAAAAAAAAATCAAAACGAAGAAAAAATAGTACAGTTATTTTTGAGTAAAATAAATACAGCCTCATTAAAACCTAAATAGAAAATTTTAGTGGGATAAAACATACGTGAAAAAAAAAAGAGTACAACTACTCCCTCTAATGTTGATCACTGAAAATCTTTGAGTCGACGTATTTAAATCTCATGAACTAATTTCTTGAATGTAGATATTGACAGTGCTTTTGTGAATAAATTGGTCACATTATTACTCAAGCGAATTTGTTGGATATCAATGTCGTCATTCTTTTGAAACTCATGTGTCACCTTTGATATAGTCTCCACTGAGTTATGTAATACAAGCTACATTGTTTTCATATAAAATTGTCGGACTATCTTTTGTTGAAATTAACCCGCATGATGCTTGGATATGATAGGTCATGTTTTTCAACCATACTCATTCTCGGCTTACCTTATGGATTGCAATAATTTCAAAATGATTCGAGGATGTAGCTTCGAGAATTGCTTCATAGATCTCCATGATATAGTTATTCCTTTATATGTAAACATATAACATATTTGTGATTTAGTTTTATGTGGGTCAGATAGATAATTTGTATCTGCATATTATACTAAAGCAAATCTCAATTTTTGAGAATAAAATAATCCTAAATCAATAGTATTCTTTAGGTAACGAAAAGTTCTGTTTAATATCATTCCAATGTCTTTGAGTTGGTGTAGAGCTATATCTTGTAAGGAGATTTACAGAAAAAGTTATGTCGGGTTGAGTGCAATTTGCAAGATAAGTTAATATTCTAATTGCACTAAAATATGGTACTTCAGGACCAAGAACATTTTCTCCATCTTCAAGTATAGGAAATGGATAATTTGCTTATATTGAGTGATCAAACAACCATAGTAATGCCAATGGATGTACATTATTCATATAAAAATGTTTAAAAACTTTTTCTGTATACGAAGATTGGTGAACAAATAATTCTTGCAAATCTAAATGTGGAATGATATCGTCATTATTATAATCTACTTCAACAAATATTCGCTAAAACGATTATACTACATGTGTTCGGATTGTTTTAATCTATATAATGATCTTTGCAATTTAATTGAGATCATATTTCTCGGGCATGTATCGTTTGTTCCCTGGTACCTTAAGTCCTTCAGGGATTTTCATATATATGTCACTATCAAGTAAATCATACAAATATGCAGTTACTACATCCATAGGCGCGTATCAAGCTTTTGTGACACAGTCAAACTAATTAAAAATATAAAAGTGATGGTGTCCATTACGGGAGAATATGTTTTCTCATAATCAATTCATAGCCTTTGTGACAAACCTTGAGCTACTAGTCGAACTTTGTATTTTGTAATTTCATTATTTTCCTTTATCTTTTGTATAAAAACTCATTTATATATAACAGAGATTATATTTTCAGGTGTTTGAACTACAGATCCAAACACTTTTCGTTTATCTAAGGAATTCAACTCTGTTAGGATGACTTCTTTCCATTTTAGCTAATCATTTCTATTTTGACAAACTTTAATTGACTGTGGTTTAGGATCTTCATTTTGAATAATATCAAAAGTTATATTAAAGGCGAAAATATTGTTTATAACAACATTATCTCGTTTCCATAATTTATGAGATAAGATATAATTTATTGAAATCTCATTATTTTCCAACACTTATTGTTATTCAGGAACCATATATTTAATATTTGATTGATCAATATTTTTTAATTTTAATTCTTCCGAAGTTTTGGTTGATTTTTTTCTCCTATACCTTTTTTTCGAGGTACTGAGTCTTTTGAACCAACTGGTCAATCACGCATCTGGCGTATGTGAGATTTATTTGCTAAAGCAGATTATTCTATAGGGATATCAATTTTTGTTGGAATATTTTCTGCTGGTATGTATAATTTCGTCACTTTTCTTGTGTCAACAAATGCATCAAGTAATTGATTTGCAACATTTTGCAAATGAATAATTTTTTCAACATCTTGCTCATATTGATTGCTACGGGGATCAAAGTGAAATAGAGTTGTTTCATTCCAAGTAATTTTACATTTTTTTCAGGATGTAATTTTTCCCCTCCCAAATTTGAGAAAGTCATTTCATCAAAATGACAATCTGCAAAATGTGTAGTAAATAAATCACCCGTTAAAGGCTCAAGATACCTAATAATTGATGGTGAATCAAAACCCACATAAATCCTAAGCGATCGCTAAGGACCCATTTTAGTATGTTGTGGGACGAAATAGGGATTTGGACAACACGACCAAAAATTCGTAGGTGAGAAATATCAGGTTCATGACCAAATGCAAGTTGTAAATGTGAATATTGATAATAAGCGGTTGGTCTTATATAGGGATAACAATTGGGCCGAGTGGGCGATGACTCATAAAAAGATGAGCCCAAGCACGAGCCAAGTGGGCTCAGGCATAGAATGTGAGCCGCTCGTGGGCGAGCTTGCCCACGAGCGGCTCGTGGCTCATTTTTAATGAATCATTTTTCTCACTTTTTTGGTAAACAGTGACCGTTTTGGTCATTGAACTTTTTTTTTCTTCTTTCCCCATTTCTATAACTACCCCCATGAATCTCAATATTTTTCTATCTCAAAACTCAATTTTCATTTCTCAATGCTCTATCTATCAAGTTTCAACTCTCTTGTGCAAAATATACAATATTGATTTTTTTT